CTCCTCCTCCTCCTCCTGCTGCTACTGCTGCTATAGCTACTCCTACTCCTCCTCCTACTGCTGCTGCTCCTGCTTCTTTGTTACTGCAGCTGTTGCACTGCTTGCGGGCCCATATCGACAAGGGTCACAGCGAGGATCAGAAACATCTGATACTGCAGTGAGTATGAGACTGGGATCTCCTGCGATACTTAGGAAACCAAAGCAGCCACGGTTTGCATGTGCAAGTTTGGCAAGTTTCACAAATAATGACAAGTTCCCAAAGCATACAGGTACAGGCTTGACACATGTATATAGCATTGACATGATAGAGACAAAAGTGCGTCGCAGTATTGGTCTTGCTGTTTACGAAGAGTTTGACTCTCCAAGGTCTTCGCGCATAGCCGTGACGAGATTTCATACCATCCAGCAAAGTACAAGACGAGGAGGTCCGTTCCAGCTCCTGGCAGCATGTTCTTGATTTCATCATTGCATGTTGCGAAAGCCACAAGGTTTCCCATGATGCATGTTTGTAACATACTTCGTTTGAAGCTTGCTGTGCTCAGGCTCAGTGGGCTTGTCGTGCATTGCAGCGCATGATGTTCACGTGCGCCGGAGAAGGGCGAAGGTTTTAGCCGGCGAGTGTCGTCGTGGGATGGTTCACAAGGCAGCAGTAAAACTAAAGGATAGACGTGACACTGAGACACAGTCAACTCGAATCACACTCGAAGACAAGATGTTTTCGCATTACTAAGTAGCAGGCTGAGTAAACTAAGCAGTCGTGGTCTGGTAAGCATGCCTCAGTATACGTAGTAGTGTGGCATCTTCGTCGTCGTAATTTCAGCAGTCGTTGTAGCGTGGTAGTCGTGGTGGTGCAGTGGTGTTGAGAAATCTGCTCACAAGCACCTCTCGACGACCGCATGGATGCTTTTCTGGAATCACACATTGTACCAGCAATAATGCGGTCTAAACAAGAACAGTAAGTGACTTGCAAGGCAGTGCTTTTGCCACCGGCAAAGCCCCGTCAGGTGCAACGGAAAGGGCTGCCGTGGGCAGGCATGGCCTCGTCTCCCTCATCTCTCCAGCTTTCTCCGACCAAGATTCCAGTCTCGCACAGAGGTTTTGAGCTTTGAGTATGAGGGCACGCATCAGTGGTTGCTTGAGTATGGGAGGGTGGTATCACTACCGCTTGCCCTGAAGAGCATACGCCAGCCTGGAGACGCTCGAGTCGAAATGCCAAACCTCACACCCTGAGTCTTCAAACTACCTGGCTTTGACCTCTCCCCTTCCGACCCATGCCATCCTTGCAGATGATGCAGGAGATCTGCTGCTTTGCACATGGAGAGGTGTGGCCCACGGGCTTTCTCGGTCGGGTTGAAGGTTGGCAGTTGAGTGCCAGCTACCAGACCTTTTCTAGGGACGCATGTTCACCGTTGTGGTTGCGCCTTGATGGAGTTCTTGTACTAGCACCAATGCTGACAGCAGAAACAGCAGCAGAGTAAAGTATGAAGCAGCAGCAGAAGTAGAAGTAGAAGTAGAAGTAGAAGTAGAAGTTGTAGTAGCAGTAGTAGTAGAAGTAGTAGTAGCAGCAGCAGCAGGAGTAGTAGTAGTAGTAGTAGTAGTAGTAGTAGTAATAGTAGTAGAGGAGGTGGTAGTAGTAGTAGTAGT